ATAACTTATACCGACATAAACTGTAGTGTTCATAGCTTCAGAGATACAACCGTGATCAATCCTGAGCTGCCTGGGCCCCTTTGCCCAGGGAGAGGCCCAGAAACAATAGCCACACCAGTTGTCCATACACTTGTCACCTAGCAACAAAGGGTTGGGGATGGCCCACCCTCTACAGGAAGCCTGTGTGGTGTGACCAACTGGAGAACAAAGGACTGAGGAGAGCCAGGTGCACTTGTTAAGTGTGGGCTGCTGGAGGCAGGAGAGAAGCTTCTGGACTGGGACTAAAGAAGGGGTCAGAGGGCTCGGCACTAACCCACATGACCTATTCTGTAACTTTCTGTTCTCTGGTATCTAAGGGCATTCTATGCTGTGTTCCAGACATCTAATAAATCCTGCTGGCTAAGAGTCACTCCTGCAGTGGGGAGGGGGTGCGTTGCTCCCTTTGGGTGTGCCAGTCTCCCTCAGGTGCCCAATCCAGGGGGACTCAGCAGGGAGCTCATGGCATGAAGCAGGGGAGCTGAAAGCTGTGAGGTTTGATCCTAGGAGACAGAGAAGCCAAGAGACCTCCCCTAGTGGGAGTATGACCCAGAGGGGGCTGCCATACTGAAGGGGCTCTCTGAACGAACACTGGGCCTGTCCATCCGTGACAGGAGCCTCTGACTTTTACTGTAATAAAAACATGCCAGAGTTTAAAGTCTTGCTACACTCCCATCCCCTCTGAGGTTTAAGAGCACGTAGCAAGCTGTAGTCTCTCTGCAAGTGGTAGCATCTTTGTTGCTAATTTATAAAAAGCATAGAGCTTTTTCCCAATAACTGGTCTATTGCTGCTGACTATTCCTTCTTTCCTTCCCCTTTGTTACTCTTAAGAGTGGTTCTCAAACTTCTTGTATTGGTGACCCCTTTCACGCAGCAAGCCTCTGTGTAACCCCCTTATAAATTAAAATGGGGGCGGGGGGTAATTTAACAGGGGCTTGGGGCTGTCAGCCTCACACAGGACCAGGCTTTGGGCTCTTAGCCCCACGGAGCTGATAGCTTGTGACCCCCATGTAACCACCTTCTGACCCCCTGAGGGCTCGTGACCCCCAGTTTGAGAACCTCTGCTCTAAGAGCTGTCTTTACATAAAGGGGCAGGTGACTCTCCTGCTCACAACATTTTAATTGATCACTGCTAAAACGTTAAAAGCCCCAGCTGCATGTGCTGCTGTTTCCACACATAGGACCCCAAGTGAGGTATAGCAGGAGGGCAAGTTCCTCGCTCTTGCTGCCTATGTGCTTAGAGTTTAGCTGTCAGTGATTTCTGGGGTGCAGAGTAATCCCAGGTGCTGCACAATGGGTAAAATGTACTGACAAACTAGGTGCTTCTTCTGAAGAGTTCACAGGCCCAAGGGGCTGCAATAAAGAGAAATGGTGAATGAACAAACTCTCAAACGCTCCAGGTCATAAGAACATAAGAATGGCCACACTGGGTCAGACCAAAGGTCCATCTAGCCCAGTGTCCTGTCTTCCAGCAGTGGCCAGTACCAGTTGCTCCAGAGGGAATGAACAGAACAGGTATCATCAAGGTCTTGTTGCAATGGGTGCTAAAGGGCAGGCTAACAGAAGATCAGTCAGTGAAGCAAGGCCACTGTGGTTGAGTCTGAAGTCACAAGGTGCTGAAAGCTGGATCTTTACAGGTATTTAGGTGCCTCATGGGATTTTTCAAAAGTGCCTAAGCTGCTGTGGTGCCTAAATACCTTTGACAGACTGACCCCAAATCCTCTCTCGTGGTTTCAAACTCTTGGGCCGATTAGCCAGCCACGGGGCTCTTCCCAAATGCCAGTGTGCCTGTCTCCTGCTGGGTGTTGGGGTGAGGCCTGGCTGTCTTTTGTGCTACAAGTGAGGGCAACGGCAGTAGGTTAAACAAACTGGTACAGCTTTGCCTGGAGTCACAGGGCTGCAAGGACACTGTAAGCTGGGGGGAGCTGGCAGTCAGTTTAACTGCGATGGCTCAAAATAGCCACAGGGTGGCAGCTTACTACAAAACATTGAAACAAACCTTGGACCCATTGCATGCGGCAGGACGAAGGAGAGGAAATAGCAGGGCATGCAGCTGGGTAAAAGCAAAGCAATACAAGTGCCTGGAAAGAGTAGGCCTGGCAAGTAAGCAAAGCTCTTCTCAGGAGGGTTTTTTTCCCCATAACTGTCAGGATGGCCGAGCGGTCTAAGGCGCTGCGTTCAGGTCGCAGTCTCCTCTGGAGGCGTGGGTTCGAATCCCACTTCTGACAAATGCACTTTTTATTAAACCCACTCCTAAAAGCAGCTGAGAAAGTGGTAAATATCTCGCATAAGCTGCTGTGCCTGTGATATTATATAGGGTGCAGTCTTTTTCTGTATTCCACAGCCAGGTATTCCAGAGACGGGCAGCATCCCTCGCCTAATGGCAGGCTAGGAAAGCTCAACTGCACAGAGGAGAGTGAGGACGAGCCAGCCTTTGACCCCTCCCCCCAGCACAGCCACTGCTCACATTGCCTACATCAATCAGTGATGTTAAAGAGCAATTCACGCTCCCCAAGCCTCAGGAAAGGCAAATGCTGAGGCCTGAAGCTGTGTGACTATCATCATGGCTTGAAGCTAGGAAGCAGAGCCCCTCTGGCCAGTACAATGCTGCCAGGGTACCTGGAACAAATCCAAGGAAACCCTGGGAGTGCTGGCTCAGATGAGCTATTCTGCTCTGTGTGGCCACTAGGAGGCACTGGGCTGGGGAGAGAGGCTGGGTCTGATTCTAACCTTCTGAGTGAAGGCCATTCTAACCAGCAAGCTGTGCCTCCATCTCCTGGGATCCTGCCCCCAATTCTGAGCTTCATGGTCTGCCCCCACCTTGCTCTGCTGCCTCTGCCCCACAGAAGCAGCAGGAAAGGGGCACAGGGTACTTGGCACCAGGCAAAACACTTCCATGGACAGAAATAAGAAGTAATTATACACTAATGAGGATGGCCATAGAAAGCTAAGGCAGGTGGGGAGCTGGGGGCCCTATGGGGTGTCATGTTCAATGTGCATGAGGGGAGGCAGGGAGAAGAGGCAAAAAGGGATCTCTGTTTTTTCTGTTCCTTAGAACCTTAAGGGCAAAATCCCTACTGGTGCCAGGTTGAGAGAGAGATGGGGACGCAGGACCCCTGCTTGATAGCAGCTTAAACCCAAAGCACGATGTTAAGAACCCAGTGGGCTGGACACACCCCTCCATCCATGGGACAGAGGGGAGGGGAGCGGAGTATTCCACAGCCCTGGCCTTGTTCAAGGGTGGTGGCAGGGAGGGGCCGAGCAGGAAAGGAGGAGCAACAACTCCCCTCACCCACCCACCCCCGTTAGTTCCATCAGAAGCTCCAGGCAGCAGGAACCTGGAGCCAACACCATTCTGGGGCACTGGGGGGGGGCCTTCTTCATTCAGGCTCCTCCCTGAATCTCTGCCCCAGCAGGCCTCCCCTCTCATGCAGTGCAGACAACTGGAACAGGGGAGCTGATGCTCACAAGGCTGGCAAGGTGGGGGTAAGCCAAAGGAATTACAATGGGTGGGGGGTTGTTTTTTATATATCTCAGGCACAATGGTGGGCAAGGGCCTAGTGCTCAGAGATGGGAGCTTCAGCTCAGGTGCAATGGCTTCTGCTCGCTGCCCCTTGTGCTCCTCCAGCTCCTGGCCATGGCTGGGAACCCACCCCTCATTCCCTAGCAAAGTGTTGTTGGCAGTAGGGCTAAGGTCCTGGGGAGCTGAAGGGGGGCTCAGCCTTCGTAAAACTGTATGGCTGGAGGGACATGGTTTGGACACTGCCATTTGAAAGCATTGGCCTTAAGCTCTGCCTCAGTTTCCCTCACTACAGCCTGAGGCTCACACTTTTTACAAGGTGTTACCAACCAGAGATGGCCCTGCCCCTTGTTCCTGTGAGTGTTTTCCAACCATGGTAGGCCATATGACAGGGGTGGACAAACTTTTTGGCCCGAGGGCCACATCTGGGTGGAGAAATTGCATGCATGGCCATGAATGTAGGGGTGGGGCAGGGGTGCAGGAGGAATTGCGGGGTGTGTGGGGGGGTGCAGTGTGTAGGGAAGTGGCTCAGGGCAAGAGGTTGGGGCAGAGAAGGAGTGTGGGGTCTATGAGGGGGCTTAGGGGAGGGGTGCAGGGAGGAGTGCAGCAGGGGGCTCAGGGCAGAGGGTTGGGGCAGAGAAGGGGTACAGGGTGTATGATGGGGCTTAAGGAAGGGGGTTGGGGTGCAGGAAGAGGTGTGGAGTGCAGGAGGGGGCTCAGGGCAGGGGGTTGGGGTGCGAGGTGAAGGAGGGATTCAGGGTGCGGGCTCCAGCCTGGCACCGCTTACCTGGAGTGGCTCCGGGGTCGCAGCAGCACGCACTGGGGCCAAGGCAGGCTCCCTGCCTGCCCTGGCCCCACGCCACTCCCAGAAGCAGCCAGCACCACATCCCTGCACCTCCTGGGGAAGGGGGTGGCAGAGGGCTCCGTGCGCTGCCCTCGCCCATAGGTACCTCCTCCCGCAGCTCCCATTGGCCGGAGCTGCAGGGGGAGGAACCCACAGGCGAGGGCAGCGCACAGAGCCCTCTGCTCCCCCTCCCCCAGGGGCCTTAGGGACATGGTGCTAGCCGCTTCCAGGAGCGGCGTGGGGCCTGCAGCACCATGCAGGTGGCAATCTAACAGGCCGGATCCGGCCCGCGGGCCGTAGTTTGCCCCCTCCTGCCATAGGACATTGCGGACCATGCCACTTCCCTGCCTGGTGCTGTCCACATGAGGACCACTGGCCTTCACCTTGCACAGCTGCCAAGCCAGCACGCTGCACCAGCACTAACCCTACCAAAGCAGGGGTTCCCAAACAGCATCTACCCCAGGCTGAGGGACCAGGCCCTTGCAGAGCAGTTTGGAAACTGCAGCATGAGAGACGAAGCCATAGAGGCCCTAGAACCCACCTGTCCCTTCCACCTAGAACAGAGCAGAGGCAGGAGTTCACAGCACACAACCCCCACAGTGCCCTAAAGGCAGCCAAATGTGTTTTATTATGAAAGTCTGGAATGAAACACTGTATGAATGTCCTGAGCAGGAACAAATACGGGGGACCAGTCTGCCCGCAGGCTCCATCCTCACCCCTGCCCAGCAGAGAGGGTGGAGGATGGTGCCATGTACTCACTGCAGAGAGACAAGCACATGGAAGGCAGGAGTTTAAAAGTTAAGTGAAGGACTTTGAGGTTCACAAATTATGTGAATGCAACAGTTAAAAAGCTGCCCTAGAACCAGTTTTGCCATCCGCCAAGGCTTGGATGTTAGGCAGGACAGGCCCACCAGGGCTTTGGCTGGGTTGAGCCGGTTGCAGTGGGAGGGCCTGCCAGCAGGGTCAGCCCTGGAGCTACAGGATGGCACAGCGGTCAGATGGGTCCCTGTGTGCAGCTACAATCTCAGCCCCAGGATTGGTCCATGTCACACCATGTGATCCCAGGCAGGGAATTTTCTTTAGGGGGAGCCAGTAGGTCCAGCTTGGTGTCATTTGCCATGAACAGGATTCTCTGGCTGATCTTCCCGATTGTCTCCACCTGGAAAGAGGAAGCCACAGAGAAACCAAACCCACCACCTCCAGCACCCAAAACCCAGGGCTCTGCTAGCGGGAGCCAATGGACCCATAGGGATCAGTACAAACTGCACTCAGCAGAGGGCAGTGTGCACATCACCAGACAACCCACTGCACCCTCCCCATCCACCCTTTCCCTTCTCCTGCCATGGCCACCCTGTCCTGAATCCACATCCACACAGTGTGGCCTGAATCCACACCCACACACTGCAGATGAAGTACCTGAAAGCCTAACTGCTGCAACCAATCATGCAAACTGTCCAGGATTCTCCTGCCATCAAAGATAGAGGCTGGTTTGAGCATCGCCTTGTGGATTCTCTCGTACTCCAGCTCCTGGTACAACACATAGAGGGGGAAAGGGCTTAGCAATAACACCCTCAGCCGCAGCCACCTCATCCGGGGCTGGGATTCTCAAACTGAGTTATGCAAGGCCCTACCTGGCTGGGACTGCAAGAGGAGAGCACCCCTCACAATGTCACCTGCATGGGACCTCGAGGAACATGACATGGAAGCCCACCAGCACCCTGGCCCATCTCCAGCTAAGCACCAATCAGCACCCAGCCAGAGCTCTTGGTGGCAAGGGGACCGGACTCATTCCCACCAATTAGAGAGGCCAGCAGCAGAGTGACACTGGCCAGGATGAACTGCAGGCCTTGTGCTGCAGGGCACCAACTGGGAGGTGCGTGTCAGGGACAAGACATGCACTTACAGGTATAACTGTGGGGTAACAGCTTCCTTTGAGTCATCAGATGCTACGTGCTGCTGGAGAGGGGATGCCGGGCTCAGCCACATCTCTGGCCAGTCCAATCCAATCCCGCTGGGCAATCCCAGGTTACTGGGCATTGTTATTGCAGCAAGACAAACTCAACCACCCACCAGCTCTCATTCACCTTTTGTGCTGAGCTAATAAAACAAACCTTTTGAAAAGGCACTGGGGTCTCTGTGCCGCAGCCTCTACCACGACTGGAGTCACACTCGTTGCAGTGGAGAGTCAGCTCAGCCCAGGGTGGGGCAGGGAGTCCCTTCTCCCCACCAAGTGATCTGCAGCAATCAAAGCGAGAAGGCTGCCCTTCCCCATACCCTGCCCCAGTCACTGGAATGCAGGCCCCTTGCTGAGCCATACTTCAAAGACAGGCAGCTGATCCAAGTTCCAGGCCCGGATCCTCTCCTTGTTCACATCCACTACGGTGACAGTGATTTCTGGGCACATCTGGGCGATGACACTGCACATGGGGCCCTGGACGTAGCCCACGCAAATGTAGCAAATCTGCTTCACCTGCACCATCATCGCAGCAGGGCCAACACACCCAGGGACAGTCCAGACCGCAGGAAGCCTCTTTGCCTCATGCAGAGCACACAGCGGCACCTACAAGATAAACCTCATCTGCAGCCACCAGCTTCCTGCCAGCCAGTCCATCCTCCCCACCCTGCAAGGTAGAAACCATCCTGTGTGGAAATTGACCAGACAACTGGGAGGCAGGGAGCATTTCTACTAGGGTTGAAACAGGTCATCACAGTCACACAGACAAGAAAAAAACCAGAATATGTTCTAAAATGGTTTGAACCTATTTCTGTAGCGGGGGAGGCCCAGATTACAGCTGAGTCAGAGCGCCTGGTTACAACACTCTCCAGTACAATCTAAGGGTGGGGGTGAAGCATCAGAGATGGACCACAGCTAGAGGTGGGCTACCAGCTGTGGTGGGCTAGTGCTGTGAGGTGGTACAGAGAATCACTCTTAGATGCCTGGCTGGTGAGTCTTGCTCACATGCTCAGGTCTAACTGACTGCTAGGTCTGGAGTCAGGAAGGAATTTCCCCATGTCAGATTGTCTGGGGCCTCGCGGGTGTGTGTTTCATCTTCCTTTGTAGCATGGATCCCCGGATCATCTGGCCATATTGTCACCTGATCAATTCCCTGCCGTTACAGGGGTCTCAGGCAGGTGGCATCTCAGTCTGTCCTGTTCTCTGCCTGTGGCACACAAAAAGTTGAGTCTATTGAGGGCTAAAATACTTTAGTTTGACTAAAGCAACAGGGACATTTGGGTGAATATCATGGCCTGTAATGTACTGATCAGACTAGCTGAGCTAATTGTCCCTTCTAGCCTTAAACTCTATGAATCAATGAGTACGTCCAAGGCATTCGCCCATGTAGGGAAACAAAGCTGAGGTCCTACATACCCTACACGCTGGAACCATGTCAGAACTAGGTTCCCAGCTCCATCATATTTGAACGCACGAGGACTTACTGAGTTTTAACAGGTTGGCACATGTTTGACTTCATATATGGCTCATGTCCACATCGACATGGCTAACTCACAGCTCCTAACTGCATGGGTGTTATTGTGTTTATACCCTGTGCACAAGAATGCCTGTGGCATCTGCCTGTGTGTCCATGTAAGCAGGTTAGCCAGTCCTCCTTTCTCCCAGGTTGTGCACTGCACTCTGGGAAATGGCTGCCCTGGCACCAGCTGCTCTGTGGAGTTATAGCCACCTTTTCCCAGCATGCACTGATACAAACACTGCCATGCAGCATGGACAAGCCAGCAGAGCTGCCATTCCTGCCGGGAACTCGCTGCTGTGCGAGTGCCCCAACAGGGTTAGCTGTAACCAGGCCAAGCGAATCAGAGCCTGGTTACCCAGAACGTGGTTCTCTCTGCTTCCCAGGCACAGCCAGAGCCTGCTCATGTTCCGAGTCCCGCTAGCAGGGCTCCAGCCTCATCTCCCTCCCTGTTGTAGAAACAAATTGTTTTCTGAGAACTGCATTAACCAAACTGTGTTAGATTAGAGCTGGGCAATTTTTTTGGGGACAAATAGTTTAATAGCCAAAAAAAAAAAATGCAGTTTCTGTTGACCCAAAACTATTAAGAACATAAGAACGGCCATACTGGGTCAGACCAAAGGACCATCTAGCCCAGTATCCTGTCTTCCGACAGGGACCATTGCCAGGGACCCCAGAGGGAATGAACAGAACAGGTAATCATCGAGTGATCCATCCCCTGTCGCTCATTCCCAGCTTCTGGCAAACGGAGGCTAGGGACACCATTTCTGCCCATCCTAGCTAATAGCCATTGATGGACCTATCCTCCTCCATGAACTTATCTAGTTATTTTTTTTAACCCTCTTATATTCACAGATTTGACATGAATTTGCCAGATAGTTTTAGCCTGTACATTTTTTGTTGTCCTGATTCACCAGGGGATTTAGGTGCCATTCACACCATAGGAGATGGTGGAGCTTGTACCCTTCCCCACACCATATAATCTCTAGCCCAGTCGCTAGCATGCTTCCCTGTAATGTGGGAGACCAAGGTTCAACTCCCTGCTCTGGACCGAGGCTATTTGTATGTGGATCTCTCCCAATCTCTCCTTTGAAGCTGTTCCACTTTGGGTAAAATGCCTGAATAGTCATTAGACCAGCATACGAATGTGAGAACGACTCTACAGCCCAATGGCCAGAGCACTCACTTGGGAGACTGAGGTTCCAGTCCCAGCCCTCTACTCCAAAGAATAGTTAATAACACAAAGTGGAACAGCTTCTGTAGGAGAGACTGAGAGCACCTCATGCCAATAACTTGGGGTTAGGGCAGGCACTTGGAAGGGCAGGCACCTGTGTTTAGAGCCCTAGCCCAAAGTGAGGATTCAGACCTCGGTCTCCCACATCCCAGCTGAGTGTCTATCCACTGGGCTAACATGTTTAAGGGTGGAAGGGACAGCAGCGCCTCCACTGGCCATTTTGTGACTCTAGGCATTTACAAATACTCAAAAAAACCCAACCCATTTTGTTCACCCTGAACCAGACTTTTTCAAATTACCAACAATTCTGCTGGGGTTAGCGAGGGCAGGCAGGCAGGCTGGGAAGTCGGAGGTCTAACGGCAGCTTGGTGTCAGAGGGGGAGGGGGAGGGAGAAGAGGAAGCAGAGGAGGGAAGGCAGGCGGGGGTGGGGCTCCTCCTAACCAGGTTTGGATGAAGGTCTGTGAGCATTGCAGCCTGCCCAGCTCAGAGGGTCTGTCTTCAAGGCTAGTACATCCTTCCTATAACCTCAACTGCATGAACTCCCTCTTGTATCCTAGACAATGGCACCTTCTCTTCCTCGCCTCCCCAGCAACTACACATAGCGAAGAGCTTGGCAAGGCTTCGTCCGTTCCCCAGATCCCCGGTGCTCAGCTCCCAGCTCCTGCAGCACAAATGCCACGCAAAGGGATCTACTCCAGCGCCAGCCCAAATCAGTCCCTGTGCCACTTTCTGCCCATTTAAAAAGCGACACAGGTAAAAAGAACCTCCCTGAACTCAGGGTCTGGCTCGCTGCTGCTTAAACTGTTCCCTTCCAGGCCGCTTAGAAGGGCAGGGCTATCCCCAGAGGGGCACAGGTCAGCCAGCCCCAGCCCCTCCACAAGAGGCTCTCATTATTCCTGGTGGTGAGAAGCCAGGAGGCCGCATTTCCTGTCTTGAGAAGGAACCTGGTGCCACAAGGCTGCCTTGGACATCTCAAGACTAGCAGAGAGCTGTCTTCACCACAGCAACAGCACTAGCTCACCTACAGCTCCACTCTTCTTAGGGCAAGAAACCTAACTTCACAGGCTTCCAGCTCTCCCCTTCACACCTCCCCAGCCAAAGGCAGAAACTGCTCTTCTTAGGGCTAAATGGGCCCCATAGTTGCCCTCATCTTTTGTACAGATGGGGCAGCCCCAGAGCATGAGGCCCCACTTCTTGGGTTTCCAGATGCACACAGGGGCATAGGCAACCTGACCCATTCACACAGGTCAGATGCACATTGGAAAATCTCAGCTCCTGTCTGCAGGGCCACACTAGGTTCCTGGTCTGGGCTCTAGGGTGTCCCTCCCCCCGACACTAAGTTGCTCTTTGGTAACACGGACAGCCTGGCACTAGCCAAAAGAGTGCTGGGAAAATCACTATCCTGAATGGAGGCCTGCAGTGGCTCTGCATGCGGGAATGGAAGCTGACACTGAAGGGGGGGTGCAACAGCCAGACACCTGGGCCCACTGCACTCCCCCTCCCATGGGGCTTCTCTCCCCACCACATGTCTCCCCCTCCCCCCACCCCATCCCCGGTGACAACCAGCCCCACAGGCTGTCAACCTGAGTAAGGAATGTCAGGCCAGCCCCCATAGTCAGGAGAGCCAAGATGTCTGTTGTTTCTTTTGGGCATTCCCCCAGCCTGTAGAGGCCAGAGGTGAAAGGCCTTGTGGTAACTTACTGGGTCACATCCCTGTCCCCACGCCTTCTGACTGCAGTACAAAACTCCTGCCCCCAATCTCTGCCAATCCGCTCCCCCGTTTCCCAGGAGACCCACTAAGGAGACACATCCGGAAAACAGCGCGCACTCTCCTGGTCAGCAGATACCATAGCAGCAGCAGTGTGGTTGTCAGTCACACACACTCTCACTGTTAGACTAGTATTTAGGGTTACCATATTTCCACAATCAAAAACGAGGACACTGTCGGGGGGGGGGGAGCCCCACTCTAGCCCTGCCCCCATCCACTCCCTCCCACTTCCCACCCTGACTGCCCCCCCTCAGAACTCCCAACCCTCCCCCGCTCCTTGTCCCCTGACTGGGAACCCTGCCACTAACTGCCCCCTAGGACCCCATTCCCTATCTAAGCCTCCCTGCTTCTTGTCCCGACTGCCCCCTCCTGAGAACCCCCCACCCTAACTGCCCCCTTAGGACCCTACCTGTCCCGATTGCTCCAACCCTTATCCACACCCCCACCCCATATTCACACCCCCGCCCCCAAACAGACCCCCGGGACTCCCATGCCCTATCCAACCGCTCCCCGCTCCCCTCACAGGACCCCCAGAACTCCCGCCCCATCCAACCCCCTCTGCTCCCTGCCTGCCTCGACCTCTGTCCACACCCCCGCCCCAACAGCCCCCTCCCAGAACCCCTGACCAATCAAATCCCCCCTACTCTCTGTCCCTTGACTGCCCCATCCAGAAACCCCCTGCCCCTTCTCCAGCCCCCTGGCCCCCTTACCCTGTCGCTCAGAACAGCACGTCGGGCTCCGTGCGGAGCCGGACACGTGGCTGCGCTCCCCAGCGCAACACACAACCCGGTCCCTGCCCCCGCACAGTGCTGCCAGAGCGAGGCACTGGGCAGCAGTGAAGGGGGAGCAGGGGAGGAGAAGGGGGGGAGGAGGAGGAGCTGCTGAAGCCCGATGCGAACGGCCGGGCCAGCAATCTGAGAATGCAGGGAGGGTGGGGAGGGGAGTAGCTCTACATTGGCCGGGCTGGACTCCGGCAGCTGATCTGAAGCTGCGGGGGAAGGGCTCTGGCTGCCGCCCTGCAGCGCTCTGCATGGGGGGGAAAATCCCGGACATTTGTAGCTATTTACAAATTCCCCCTGGATGCTATTTTTAACCCAAAAAGCCGGACATGTCCGGGAAAATCCGGACGAATGGTAACCCTACTAGTACTGCCAGAATGTTCTAACAGCAAACTCTGCTGGATTATCACTTACACCCTGATCAGCTCGGGACAGAGGCTTCCTGATGGTTTATTCACATACAAATTCACAATGGGAATCAGTCACTCTCCTCAGATAGGCAGTACCTGGGCCCTGCACTGTGGCTTGTCCAAGTTTCTTGTCTACATGAATCTTCTCAGCTTGGAGAGAAGCTGTTGTTTTTCTTGAAGACACCTTTAGAGGGAGGAGAAGTTGTGAGGGTAGCTGGGGAGAGCCTGGCCTGACAGAAATACAGCTGGCAGCAGTGCCCATATCGCCTGGGCCAGCAAAGGGGCTCTGAGCTCAGTACTTTGTAGCAAACTTCAAGAGGCCAGGGAGGAGGTCGGTGTGAAACACAGCTGGCAGCCGGGGGGGATTCTTCTTCCCACTCCTCTCCTTGTCCCACATCTCGTTACAACAGGTGCCTAAGCAGCAGTTCTGAGAAAGTGGCTTTCAGCATCTCTGGTGACACATGAGCAACGGGGAACCCTCTGCTGTGTCATCCCACAGGCAGCACCCAGAGCTCAGGCACCTGCTTTAGACCAGCACAGCCAGATGCTCTAGGGCCCTGGCCCAGTGCTCCATGCAGAGGGGCTGGAATTCACACTGTTCACTGCAGGGATTCTTTGGTGCACAAAGGAGTTTGGAGAGAGCTCCTGGACCACAGACCACCACATTCACTTCCAGGCTCCTGCCAACCAGCAGGAGTGGGGAAGGAATTCAGGGCTCAGCCCTGGTCCCATAAGGCACCCAGTGCTCATAAGAGCTCACAAGGGAGGGGCTGGGGCAGAGCGTGGAGAGGGGGCCAAGGTATGTTGTTTCCTCCTGGAGAGAGAGAACTGGAGAAACTCCTTTCCCCATCAGGACTGTTGCTTCTTTCCAAACAAAGCCTGGAGATCCCAGCTGGCAGGAGGCTCCAGCCCCTCTCCCCATACGACCTCCATCGGCCTTTAATGAGGAACACAGAGAAGGACGTTGCGCCTCGTCAGCTCAGCTGCACCAAGGGCCCTGCTAGCACTCTGGCCTGCAGGAACACTCCCAGATGAGCCAGTCCTCTATGGGAAAATGAGCTCGGCCTCCAGCTTCTTCCACAACACAGTGAGGACGCATCCTTCCCACAGCTGTAGAATCTGCTGGCTTCATAGTCCATATCCCCACGGAGCTTTCTGGCCATGGAATCTCCCAGAGGCCACTGGGCTTCCGTCAGTCACTGTCATCACTGTCGCTCTCCTTCTCCTGCTCCTCCTTCGGTGCCTTTGCCTCCTCTCTCAGGTCAGCAAAGAAGTCCTCTCTGCCACCCAAGGCTTTGCTGCTCAGGGCCTTCAGCTGCCCACTCTTCTTCCTCTTCCGGTAATCATCCACCACCACGGAGCAGAGTGATGAGATGTCCCAGAACTTCACCTTCTGGTCGTGGCCACAGCTGGCCAGCAGCTGACCGGTGTGGGACTTGGCCAGCTGTTCAATGGGCTCCCCCAGGTGCTGTCCAACACTGCCTATCACCCGATTAGGTAAGATATTCACCGCCCTGAGACAAGAACAGAAGCTTGATTAATGGAGGGCCAGCTCCGCTGTAACTATGCGTGGTACTCTAGCCAACCCACCCACCAAGAGGAGGTGTTCTGGGACACTAAGAGATTAGAAGACTATAATACAGGGCCAACTGTCCAGTAACCTTGTATGCTACCCAATCACTACCCACCTACCAGATGCGGGTCCTCTGGGATGCTGAGAGCTTAGAAGAGGGAAAGTGCCAAGTGGTTTAAGCCCCAAATTCAGGGCTTAGTAAGTAAGTTCAATAGATCCATCTCCAAGGAGATAATTCCTGACAGTGAAGTGAGAATTTAATGTAAACATCCCCTGGGAATCCAAATCCAGCAGCAACAGCCGCACGGTGCTGAACGCCAGAACCCAGGAAGGGAAATGCACTGGGAACAGTAGGAACAGCCCTGAACGCACAGCGAGGCCAGCCTGGGGTTTTGATTCCTTCCAGTTTAACTGCCTTCATGGCGTTAGCAGCACAGCTCCCAAGAGTTCCCACCAACAGCCCTTTCATGGAGGCACCCAGGGGGATCCAACCCAGTAGGCTGTCTGAAGTCCATCCCCCAGCATCAGGGCAGGAGATTCCCTTGCAGTACTTCTGCCAGGGCTTTGCTCTGTCTGCTTGTAATGGTGCCCTACTGATAGGGCTCCCACCTCTTCCCTTGGCATATTATTCCACGACTGCATTTGCCTTTGGCAAATACACCTCTACCCCGATATAACACAAATTCGGATATAACTTGGTAAAGCAGTGCTCCGGGGGGCGGGGCTGCACACTCCGGCAGATCAAAGCAAGTTCGATATAACACGGTTTCACCTATAACATGGTAAGATTTTTTGGCTCCTGAGGACAGCGTTATATCGGGGTAGAGGTGTATCTCCTGATAGTCTGCCTACATTTTCCCTTTGCTTAATTCCACCCCAATACTCCTAACCCCTTGACCCTTCTCCCCCCACTCTCCCTGCTATTCACACCCTGTAGATCCTCCAAGCAGAAGTTCATAACGTCCTCTCAGCCCTGCTCGCAAAAGCAAGGCAGGCAGCCCCCTTTTCCCAGCCTCCCTGCTGGGAGCCAGCACTGGGTTCTCTAACCTGATGACTCCATCGATGGAACCTGTGCACAGGACGTTCTCCGTGACTGGGACCATGCAGTCGATAGACTCAGCCTTCACTGCAAAGCGGTCGCTAGTGGCACCAAAACCGTCCCAGTTGAAGAGATAAATGGTCCCCTCGCTAGAGCCGCACGCCACTTTCTTCCCCCTCTGGACAAGAAGTGAATGAGGCGGAGCTGAAAAAGCAGTAGCTGAGGACAGGACCCTCCCCTCCCCACACGGACTCTCTAGCAGGGAGTGCTTACGTCAGAGGCCGACAGCACAGGGAGTGTGACAGAATGGGCTCCTTTCCTCTTAGTCAAAGGAGTCCACATGTTTAACTCAGCAGGGACCTTTGAGCTCATGGCTGAATATTAAACGGCACTGGAGCGCCCACCACTGCCCACGTCTGGGACAGCTCAGTGCTGAGGCAGGGAAGCCTGGCTCTGTATGGCTGCCCCCACATGAAGGACAGTCACACAGGTGGCCCGTGAGCACCTACCTTCATCAGCACGACGGACGTCAGGTCTCCACTCTGAGGCTCTGAGAGCAGCTCAAAGCGCCGTCTCTTGATGTTGAAGACACCCATGGTTCCATCGCCGCTGTGGGAATCAAAGTGGTACATTGCACTCACTTAGACACGGGATTCCTCACTTCCTGTCCTAAACTGGCAAGTGTTACCTTTATACCCCCCAGAGGTGGCTGCACACTTCAGAGAGAGGGTATAAGTGATCCCCCCCCTTTGGGATTGTCCAGGATGAGAAGTACAACAAACTCCAATGATTACAAAGGGTCTGGGGCCATGGTGATAATAGCACTTACCCCTTCCTTCAACAGTGAAGACAACTGTGCCATCTGCATTAGACAAGCAGAACCAACGAGGTACGAACAAACCTGCTCTCCCCCTAGGGGAGCTGCTCTCAGGCCCCCCAGAGCAGGCTTTGCTGCCTGATGTGCCCGCAGGCACCCCGGCGCACATGGCTGAGGAGCCCAACATCACCTGGTGGTGAGCAGGAGCTTCTTGTTCTCGTCTATGGCCATGCCGCTGATGTACTCCTCGTGCTGCTGCATCTCCATGATGGCTGTGCCTTTGCGGAGGTCCCACACCTTCAGCATCCCACCATCGTCCCCCGTGGCAAAGAGGTGCTCGTCTATCACCAGCAGGCTGTTGAGGGCTGAGCTGTGAAGACCCCTGCCCCAGTCACCAAGAACGTCGGGGACTGAGAGAACCCTTCTACATGAGGCAACCCTATGAGATGCTCCATGCTGTGGCAGGGACCGGAGGCACCTCAGAGAGCCATCTGCCATTCAAAGGCCCTGCCAGGGAGGTCTGACTACATGGCAGCTCTAGCCACGGTACTGAGCACAGGTGGGATCTGGGGGAGGGGGGAGTTTGGCACCCCCAGCAAGCTGGGTGCTCCTAGGGTGAGGGAACATGGAAGGAGCCCATTTTCAGGCAGCAGAGAGCTCCCCAGGAGCTCTTGACCCTCTCAAGGGGGCCATCTGGAGAGGGCAGTACCTCCTATCAGCGTGTGTGGGGGAGGAGGAAACCAGCTTCCTCCAGAGCTAGTTCCTGCAGCCCAACTCGGCCAGAGGGGTCAGTAGAGAGTGACCGGTGGCCACCCGGACGCAGCGGGCTGTCACTACAGTCCTGGCCCCATGGCCGGCTCCAGGGGGTTTGGTCATTTGGCCTGCTCTTTGCCCCAGCGTTCCATCTGAGTCTTTGACAGCCCCACCAGGCAGGGCAGCCTTAGGGCAGATTTCCCTTCTCCCCATCCCACATATGGCCCAGCCAGCACCAAGCAGCACTGAGCGTCAGGGATGATATGATGGGCAAGCGTGCGTGCACGGGAGACCAGCTCTCTGCCAAGGGGAGCAGCCAGCTCTAGTGGAAGCGCTGAGCCAAAGGACACTCAGGGAGGAACCACTCGCCTGCTCTAGGGAGCTTAGGCAGCTAGTTCCCAGGAGGCCCTCGCTGGGCTGGGCAGGGCAGGGCTGCGTGGAGCCGGGAATCCCCTATAGACACATACCTGTGAGCCTTGGAGAAGCGTGTCACCAGTCGGCCCTCCTCCACGTTCAGAATGTGGATGGATTTATCCTTAGACACGGTGAAGAGCTCTGGGGACAAGACACACAGTATACATTCAACACCCCCAGCCCATCCAGCAACCAGAGCAGCAGGAGTGACACCGAGTTACCCAACTCCAGTGCCCATGTCCTGTGCTTATCCCTCACCAGCAGGATTCCGGCAGGATCGCTGTTACTCCTGGGCTCTGTGGCCATGAAGCCAGCCAGGATCCTAGCCCTGCCCTGGAACAGCGTAGCGCAGTGTGTTAGGGCACAGAAACATCGTGGCAGAATGGGACTTCTGAGCTACAGGGAGGAAACCCTTGGAAGTCTGGTGAGGGAGTAGAAAGGGCAGCATGGGAGAGTCTCAGCCTGGGAGCCCTGCCCCCGCCACACCTCTCGGATCTCTAGTCTCCACAGTACGGACTGACTGCATGGCTCTGAGCAGTCACTGTCCAACAGTCAAGCAGCCCCGGCCCTGCCTCTCCACACTCCCCCCCATGCATCCCAGTCTCTCTGGACCCCTCACTCCCAGGCACAGCTGATTGCAGGGAGATCTCATCCACAGGCTGGGAGCTCAGCACATTTTCTGAGCCAAGCACAGCTGGGCCTGCTCAGCAATTGGCTGAGAGACTTCTAAGCAAACTCCAGCAAATTCCTCACACTGCCGCATGGCTGAGACCCAGACAGGCTCAGCAGCCCCCCTTCCAGGGTGCAAGGAGAGGAGCTTCTCCCCGGAAGACAGAGAAAGGCATCCTCCTTGCTAGCTTGACCTCCACCCAGTGAGTCTGCACAGGTCGCTACAATGGTGTGAGAAAGTCGAAGGGAAGTGCACTCACTGTGTCCATCGTGGGAAAAGGACACTTCCCGGCAGGATTTCAGGTGATGTCCCGAGGACCAGAGCTCCCGGTTCCCACCCTCCAGGCAAGAGTACGAATACCTGAAACAAAAGCATGTGTGTTAAGGTGATGTCAGTGGGAAGCTGCTCCCTGTCTTGCCCTTCCAGCTGAGGAGCACAGCTTTTCCGCGTGGAAGGACCATTCAGATCCAAGTTCAGGGACTCCTGGTGCCTTGAATGGGGAGGTCTGTGTCCAGAGGGGGCTTTCATGGTGCAGGACTGGAGAAGGGGGAGGATGTGCCATGTCCAAATTGCTGGGGGACCGCCAGCCCCCAGAGGTGGAAGGGAAACAGGAGTCAGAGGTCTGAGGAGCTGGATTCACATGGAAGAAAAAAGATCCCGGTGGAGCAGGAGCCCCAGCTGTGTGATGGGAAAGGAACAGGTTGCACCTCAGCATTGAGGGTCAGCTCCCATAAGTCCCCTTGCTTCCCAGTACTCACTATCAGGAACTGGAGACTCCCCATGGCTAGTAGGAGACCAATCTCCAAACCAGTGGGATTGTGAGGGACCGTGAACGTCTGGAACATACCGGGCAGGTTCCCTAGAAATCTAATCTAATGCCTTCCAAGTCAGGTCACTGGAGAGCCACCATTGCAGATGGGACAGATGGCAGGTGCAGTGAGAGGCAGAGACCTTGCGCTACACCTGTGTGAGTGCAAGACAGATTTATGGCACCGTCAAGTGATGAAATGGAGCAGTGCCAGCCAGGAACCTGTTCCCAGGCTAAGCCCTTGGCAGAGGAAGGATGATGTGTCCCCAGCTACAGCATCCCAAATGCCAATGCTCAGATATTGGAAGCAGCTTTGCCCAGCCCCAATCTTCCTCTGCAGAGATAAGTGGTTTTTTCAAGCCAACTTAGCCTTGGAGCATGGAAAAAATCACCTCTAAACACACATCACTCTCCACAGGAAGCCTCTCCCCAAACCCCAGGCTTCTCCCAGCACTGTCACCTCCAGCAGCTGAGCCTGGCTTCTATCGACAGTGGTGGGGTGGGGCTGAATGGGCCATGGGGTCACAGACCCCTACCCATAGTATACACCCCATAGGGGCCTCTCTCTCTCTGCCTCTTGGGCAGTGCTGACCCCGGGGATTTCCTTGCAGCTCCCTGGTTGCACTGCCTGTTGCTGATTATCTACACGGTGCTCTTCTCTCAGATAGATCCAACTCACACATAGACATCGCCGTCCACATCGCCAGCTGCAAGGATGTCCTGGCTGGGGTGGAAAGCAATGGTGTTGGCAGCAGCTTCAAAGGAGATGTCCTCTGGGGTTTCTCGGAGCCTGGGCTCCGGCTCCTCCTGCTCCGGATCTGCCTTTGTGGGGTAAAGAGACATGAGCTAGATGGTCAGCCAAGGCACCACCAGGACACTCAGTTCCACTCTCCCCCATGCGCACACAGGGGCTGCTAGCAGGGCTTAGGATTCCCCACTACTGAACCCTCCCCACATACATGGGGACACCAGTAGAGCCCCCACTGCCCATCCAACATGCACCCAAAGGGGGGAGCCGACCTGCATGTGCCCTGCATCTTCCTCCTCCTCCACAGCTGCCTCCAGCTCCTGAGACGTTCCCTGGGTGGAAGGAGAAAGAGATCATCAGATTTAAGTGAGGGAAGGTGCATCCTGGGGAGCAGGTCGCAAGCGCTGCCTCCAATTAGCTACAACCAAGGGAACACACTCAAGACAAATGGGCCCACTCCAGCCCCAGCAAGAAATGTCCGCTGGGGCCAGGACCCAGGAGATGCTACTATGACAAATATGACTATTTCCTGCTACAGCCTGGAAAAATCCCATTGAACTAAGTATCTTTTGAGTCCACTGTATCAAACATAAAGGTTATGTGTTATCGAGGATTGTATGTGACCTTGCTAGAGGGGAGATGGAACTTCCAAGGACCATACTGAATAATGAGCCCAGAATGAGCTTTTGGACAGACAGTGTCAAGTGGGGGAATCTCTAAGGGACGAAAATGCAAATTCTCAAATCTAGTTATGCAAAAGCCCCCTACAGCTATATCCTGAGGAAAGGATAATTGTCTACTGCTTATCTGTTTCCAAAATCTGAAGATCAAAGGCCCAGGCTGTACAAAGGACAGACTAACCTATTCACGGATTTACTTGTTCTGGGCTGAAGCTGTTATGAATAAGGCCCTACCAAATTCACAGCCAAGAAAAAACACGTCACGGACCGGAAATCTGGTCTTTTGTGTGCTTTTACCTTATACTATACTTATTTCACGGGGGAGACCAGTGTTTATCAAATTGGGGGTCCTGTCCCAAAAGGGAGTTGCAGGGGAGTTGTAAGGTTATTTTAGGGGGGGATTGTGGTATTGCCACCCTTACTTCTGCGCTGCCTTCAGAACTGGGCAGCCGGAGGCTAGCAACTGTTTGTTAGGCACCCAGTTCTGAAGGCAGCACTCCACCAGCAGCAGCGCAGAAGCAAGGGTGGCAATGCCAGACCATGCCACCCTTACTTCTGCGCTGCTGCCTGCAGAGCTGGGCAGATGGAGAGTGGCTGCTGCTGACTGAGGGCCCAGCTTTGCAGACAGCAGCGCAGAAGTAAGGGTGGCAATATCATACCATGCCAGCAGCTGCCTCTCCATCTGCCCAGCTCTGAAGGCAGCGCCGCCGCCAGCAGCAGCGCAGAAGTAAAGGTAGCAGTACTGCAACCCCCACACACAATAACTTTGCGACTCCCCACAACTCCTTTTTGGGTCAGGACCCCTACAATTACAACACCATGACATTTCAGATTTAAATAGCTGAAATAATGAAATTTACTATTTTTAAAATCCTTTGACCGTGAAATTGACCAAAATGGACCATTAATTTGGTAGGGCCCTAGTTATGAACTTGTAGCCACAGAAAAACCCCTTTGTGGGCTTTGAAGGTCTGACTTCACCAGAGCCCTTGTTGGAGTGAGGGGGTGATCTCTGGAAAGCTTATTAGCATTCTTTGTTTTAATGTGTTTTCTCTATAATGCTTTCATCTTCAGAATAAATGTGTTTGCTTAGAAAAGAGTTGTGGGGTAACTTGTAACTGTGCACAATTACACAGTTTAAAGCCTCTGAAGAGGAAGAGCAAAGTACAGCCACTGGCCTGTCTAGGCTGCCTGGCTCACTGGGAATAACACAGTGTAGGTAGGGAACTGTGAAGCCAAGAAAAACCCCAGTCAGGAGGGAGAGAGACACGTGCCTCCACCCAGCAGAGAGGGAAAACAGGTGCAGTTGTCCTGAACTATGACAGCTGCTCCCCTCACAGCAGGTCAAAGAGAAGATAATATGTCCCTGGGTCCTCCATAGGGCACAAAGAGAAGGGCAGGGCTACTGGGCTCCATTGAGGAAGAAGAGTTGCTGCTAAGGACCCGCAGGGGATGGGAAAGGAACACCTACTGTTTATAAAAATGGAATCAGTTAACACAGCCCTTCTACTGCAGTGTGGACAGAGTCTTAGGCCTGGTCTACACAAAGAAATTGGACTAGTTTAACTAAATCTGTGTAAAAACCAGTTTAGTTAAATGAGTGCAAGTCCCTGTAAATCAATATAAGTGTGTCCATAAAGGGGTTTGCTGTGGTGTAACTGAATCACTTTAAAAACACCCCTTTGGTTAGACCAGTGCGAGTCAGTGTGAGTTCATGTGTAGACACAGTTGAAGAGGTGAATGTACTGAATCAAAAGTGCAGATAGACAACGCCAGCGAAAGCCAGATATGATACAAGCAGGTCAGGGCCCCAGGAATAAGGGGGACAAACTAATTGCTGTAGAATCATGCTCAGGAATCTCAGCACTCCTTTTAGAAACAACACAAACAAGCCATCAAGTCAGTAGCACTGATGCCCGTGAAAAAAACTTTTCAAGTGCAACCCAAACATTAACACATAGGCAGGTCCACCCAGGCCTATAGGCAGCCTGTAACAAGAGTTCTCAGTAGCCCATTCATCTCAATGAAACATTAACTCTGGAGGCTAATGATATTTAAAATACCAACTCTAGTAGCTACTACATAAGAATGGCCACATTGGGTCAGACCAAAGGGTCCATCTAGCTCAGTATCCTGTCTTCCCACAGTAGCCAATGCCAGGTGCTTCAGAGGGAATGAACTGAACAGGTAATCGTCAAGTGATCCATCCCATCACCAGCTTCTGGCAAACATCCTGGCTAATAGCTATTGAAGGACCTATCCTCCATGAACTTATCTAATTCTTTTTTTAACCCAGTTATAATCTTGGTCTTCGCAACATCATCTGGCAAGGAGTTCCACAGGTTGAATGTGCATTGTGTGAAGAAATACTTCCTATTGTTTGTTTTAAACTGCTGCTTATTAATTTCATTTGGTGACCCCTAGTTCTTGTGTTATGAGACGGCGTAAATAACACTTACTTATTTACTTTCTCCACATCAGTCGTGATTTTATAGACCTCTATCATATACCCCCTTAGTCATCTCTTTTCCAAACTGACAAGTCCCAGTTTTTTAAATCTCTCCTCAGATGGAAGCTGTTCCATACCCCTAATCATTTTAACTCCTCTCCTGAGCGCGTTGGCAGGAACATCGAGCTAATCTGCTTGCCCACGAGTGCAGTGACAAGCCTGTCCTCGTGCTGGGAGGCAGGGAGCCGATGTCCAGGTTTGCTGAATCGGGTAATGAGGGATACAAACCTCCCTTCCCTGCTTCAAAGGGGGTGGGGGGGAAGAAAAGTTTCCTCCCGTTACCCTGCGCCAAAAGCCTCGAGCAGCCTCCTGTCCCCCGTTCCCCACCAGCAGCTTCTCTCTCTCTCTGATGCGGCTGCCGGTTCGGGTCATGAAAAGAAGGGACAGAGTGACCGGCTCTGATAGAATTGGCTCGTACTTACCTCTCTGGGCGCCGCCATCTTGGCATGGATCGGTCCTGGCTGGGGAGTAGTGGATGCGTTTCAGCCAGGCGCTTGCGGTAGGCGCTGGGTTGGCCTTTCCCCTTCCAGGACCCTATAACGTTCAATCTCTCGCTTTAGTCATTTGCATGGCCCCGCCCCACTGAGAACTCTTAGAGCTCTCGGAGAGGAAATGCTTTCGGGCCGGCTTTAGCTCAGCGGTTCCTTCGCGACTTCAATTCATTGAAAACCCAGCCCCTCCGGGGGTTCGATACCCGCGGGCGCTGTCTGGCCTTTTGCCCCGTGGATCCGATTTTACTCCTGCGCGCGTGGACCGGACAGGGGCTCAGCGCTAATTGCTCTGGCCTTCACCCCTTCGTCCGCGCTCACTGCTCTCAGGCTCCAGCCCCGCAGGGTCTTCAGACTGAACTTCCAGGGGAGGGGAGGGGGAGTTCGTGGGGCGCAGTGAAAAGCCCCGGCGGACACATCAGTCGGTAATAAAGACCCAGGGCCCCGTAGCGCTGTCCCAGCAGGGGGCCTCCTTCACTCCACGCGCACTGGACAGCCTGGGAATGGTCTTTTGAAGTAGAGGTAGAAGAAACAGCCCCCAGGTTTTCAGTAAGAAAGAGGCAAGTCTTAGCCAGGCCGGGCTCTGTCTCCATGTGCCAAATCTCTCACACTGCCCAGCTCTGCCATGCCCTGGGAGACACACATGGCTTTGCTCCCTGCGTAGTTGTGCAGGATGGTATTTTCTCATAGTAAATAAGGCAGAGCAGTGGCACCAGAAGGCGGTTGAAACTGCCCTAGTACCCAGCGGGCCTGTGTCCTGGCCCAGGTGTCACAGTCATTTTAATTGCAAACTCAGATTTTTTAAACACAGGATATGGCTTGCTTAGAAAACTGATCCTTCCACTTGGAAAAATAGTTCCTAGACAAAGGCAGACAAACCCTAGGCAAAGGTTCTAAGCCCCATTTCTCCCTTCTTCTTTATGGGTCCCTGAACTTTTGGGACCCCTCCCCCAACCAAGAAGCTCAGCTGCTCTTTGTGGCCCAATATCCAAGAGTGCTATTGCTCTTCCTCCCATTGAACACGGTGGGTGCAGATAGTGTCTGTGTCCTAGTGATGAGCACCACTGGGGAGCTGGTGCATGAATGATTCCTTTATAAAGGTCCATCTAGTCACTCAGAATGTGGCTTTAGACCATCAATGTCTCCGGCCAGTGCTGTGTTGACTCTTTGGACACCATAGCGAAAGCAGCGTTTGTCTTGTGAGCCTGTCCCCAGGAGAAGATAAACCTCTGGCTCCAAACATGCTCTGTCTCCTTCTGTTTGAAAGGGGGTGATGCACTGTGATCCTCCACAGGAGGGAAAAAGGAAGCAGAAACTTCTCAAGCTTCCAACAGGCAGCCCCCCAGATCCCACCCATTCCAGCTGCAGCCCAACAGGAGTGACACACACAAAGAGCTGTTGCAATTTTATTGCATCAAAAAGGATTACAAATTTCGTGGTAATAGATAAAACAGAAAATGTCATATTGCCTCTATATAAATCCATGGTACGCCCACATCTTGAATACTGCATAAAGATGTGGTTGCCTCATCTCAAAAAAGATATATTGGAATTGGAAAAGGTTCAGAAAAGGGAACAAAATTTATTAGGGGTATGGAACAGCTTCCATAAAACTGTGATTTTTCATCTTGTAAAAGAGACGACTAATGGGGGATATGATTGTGGGCTATAAAATCATGACTGGTGTGGAGAAAGTAAATAAGGAAGTGTTATTTACTCCTTCTCATAACACAAGAGAGAGGGATGGGTCCAGTTTGGGGGAGGGGGCTCTGTTGTCTGGGGAATGGGGCGGGATGGGTCCAGTTTGGGACAGGGGGCGGGGGGCACCATCATCTGGGGAGGGGACACCATCATATGGGGAGGGGGCAGAATGGGCCGAGTTTGGGGGAGGGGGCCTTCGGCGCCGTTGTCTGGGGAGAGAGGGGTCCTGTTTGCGGGAGGAGCAGGTGGGGGGCACCATCGTCTGTGGAGGGAGGCGGGCCGGGTGCAGTTTTGAGGAGGGAATTGGGGTGCAGTAGTCTGGGGGGGTGGCTCCAGTTTGGGGGGAGGCAGGGGCACACTGTCATCTCGGCAGCGGAGAGGAACAACTTCAGTTTTGGGCGGGGAGCACCATCGTCTCAGGAGGGGGGCAGGATGGTTTGGTCCAGTTTGGTGAAGGGGACCGGAGGGGCGCCGTCATTTGGGGAAGGGGACAGGACGGGTCCAGTTTGGGGCAGGGGGGCGCCATCATCGTCTGGGGAGGGGGGCGGTATGGGTCCAGTTTGGGGGAGAGTGCGGGGGACACCATAGTCTGGGGAGAGGGGTATGATGAGTCCACTTTGGGGGAGGGGTGCCGTCGTTGTCTGGAAAGGAGGGCAGAAAGGGGCCAGTTTCAGGGAAGGCGGGGGCGGGACCGGTCCACTTTGGGGTGGGGAGGCATCGTTGTCTGGGGAGGGGGACGGGAAGGGTCCAGTTTGGGGCAGGGGGGCGTCGTTGTTGTCTGGGGAGGGGGATGGGACAGGTCCAGTTTGGAGGAGGGAGTGGGTGCACAGTCTTCTGAGGAGGCGGAAGGATGGGTCTAGTTTGGGGGAGGGGTGGGAGAAGGACAGGTCCAGTTTGCAGGAGGGGTAGGCGGGGCCCAATCATCTGGTGAGGGGGGGCGGGACATGTCCAGATTGAGGTTGGGGGCAAGGGGCACTGTCATCTGGGGAGGGGGGTGGGATGGGTCCATTTTGTGGGAGGGCACGGGGGCGGCATCATCTGTGGAATGGAGCCAGACGGATCCAGTTTGGTGGAGAGGGCAGGGGCGCTGTCATCTGGGGAGGGGGGCAGGAAGGTGTCACAGAGTCACCAGGCGATACTCTGGAACTACTCCATATGAGGCCAGTCAAGACTCAGGTGTAGCATGTCGGTAGGGTAAAAAGCTTACACAGCTTTGACCTTCCTGAATCTGACCTCGGAGCATTCAGCAACCCCTTCCACACCATGTGCTTCCCGCAGCGAGTCCGCCTAGGTGGTGCTTCTGGGGAAGCCAGAGGGCCCTGCACCCCAATTCTGCAGTCAGACATGACTCTCAGCCAGCGTAAAATGGAAGGTTTATTAGTTGACAGGAACACAGTGTAGAACAGAACTTGTTAGCACAGAAATCAGTGACTTTCAGCCAAGTCCATCTTGGGAAGTCCTGGGCCAGAAGCCCTGGACTCCCCCTCTTCCAATCCCCCCAAGCAGACTTCCAGCTTCCAGCGACCTGATCTCAGACACCCCCATTGCCCTCCTCCTTGTCTTTGTCTTGCTTCCCCGGCAAAGAGTCAGCTGGTTGTCACCTGATTGCATCCCCCTCCTGGGTCTCAGGTTACAAAGGGCACCGGTCATAGCCTACATGCAGACATCGGGAACAGCCTCACAGGTCTCAGCCAAAATCACACATCCCTATTCCCACCACCAAGGTATTGGTGCAGCACACAGGGAAACTGAGGAACACATTATTCATGCAAAACAATAAAACTCACATAGGCTCAACACTGCAGTAAGACTCACAACATAACAAGGATAAACCCCCACTTCGTCACAGAAGGTTCCATTTTGGGGAGGGCGCGGGAGGCGCCATTGTCTGGGGAAGGGGGCAGAATTTGTCCAGTTTGGGGGCAGGGGTGGGACAGATCCAGTTTGGGGGAGGGCACCGGAGGCACTGTCTTCTGGGGAGGGGGGTGGGATGGGTCTAGTTGGGGTGGAGGGCGCCATCGTCTGGGGAGGGGAGCTGGACATATCCAGTTTGGGGCGCGGGGCGGGTTGTCTGGGGAGGGGGGGAAGGACAGGTTGAGTTTGGGGCACACTATAGTCTGGGGAGAGGGGTGGGACGAGTCCACTTTGGGGGAGGGGGCGCTGTCATCTGATGAGGGGGCGAGATGTGTCCAGTGTGGTGGGGGGGGTGCCGTTGTCTAGGGAGGTGGGAGGGGCGGGTTCAGTTTGGGGGATTGGCAGGGGACGCCAATGTATGGGGAGGGGAGCGGGACAGGTCCAGTTGGGGGAGCGCCATCGTCTGGGGAGGGGGGCAGGATTTGTCCATTTTGGAGGCTGGGGTGCTGTCATCTGGGGAGGGGGGCAGGAAGGGTCCAGTTTGGGAGAGGGGGCAGGTGGTGCCGTCATTTGGGAAGGGGGCAGGATGGGTCCACTTTGGGGTGGGGGTCGTCATTGTCTGGGGAGGGGGATGAGACGGGTCCAGTTTGGCGAGGTGGGCGCCATCGTCATCTGGGGAGGGTCACTGAACGTGTCCTGATTGGAGTGGGGGGGGCACTGTCATCTGGGGAGTGGGACAGGATGGGTCCAGTTTGGGGGTGGGGGTGGGGGAGCTGTCATCTGGGGAGGGAGTGGGCCGGGTCCAGTTTGTGGAGGCGTGGGGGTACCTTCGTCTGGGGCTGGATGAGGTACCGGTCCCATTCCAATTTGTATTTGTCTTCACGTCACAACACCAAGTCCCTGGTGAAAAGCATCTCCATAGAGCTCCCCATATCTCCTGCATCAAGGGGTCCATTCCGATCACAGATAAGAATGGGTTCAATGATGACCCTTGGTGCAGACCTACCCGTACAGCGAATGACTCAGTGGAGTCACCGTTGCTTCTCCCTACTGTTGTGCTGCCCCATTTCGCCATCTTTAGTGCGATCTGAGTCTCCATCATGGTGACAGGTCTTGTGAGGCTGTCGCTTGAGCCTACTTCCCTTACCAGCTTCTTCACAGTCTCTTCACTGAGCATTTTCTCATAAAACTGCTGCCACCTCCTAGTGATTTCACCGTCCTCCACAAGCAGTCTTCCCTTTTCATCTCCTAAATGCTCTGTGCTTTTTCCCCTAATCTTGGCTAATCTGTGTATTCCTTTCCCCCTTTCCCTTGTTACTAGTCCTGCATAAAAACCTTTAAATG